TTCCTCCATTGAAATTTTCAGAGCCAAATCATACAGTCCTTCAAATCTTGACTTTATACTTACAGCGGGAAAATGAAAGTGCTGGGTTGAAGCCGCGAGCGCGAGGTCTTTCCGAATTCGCAAGGCAGGAAAAAACTACGGTATGTAACCACATGGAACCCCAAACAAAAAAAAAAAAAAACATAACGCAGGCCGCCTGAGGTTTCCCTTAGACAGGAAGAGGAGAGCCCCTGACTACCAAAGCAAAAAAAGAACCAAGGCAGAGTGGTAAAACTAGCTACAGACAGGAAAGACAAACCCGAGACAGCCCACAGGAGGCATGCAGGGAAGGATGAGGAAGCAATAAACTTTAGTAAGAGGGACAGTTAGTAAGTTCCTTGTAGTATACCGTAGTATACTCGGCCTTACTGTGTGTGTCACCCCTGAGGGACTGGCTAGATAAGTAGCAGGCAACAGAGGAGGAAATATCAACAGAAGACCATAAGCCTAGTTACTCATACCCAGCTTGGACATAGGAAGCTGGTTAACCATACAAGGTGTTAGTTCCTCGTAACATAAAAGCAGATTTTAAAATTTCAGCATTCAGTGTTGAAAGCTGAACATTATCTTAAAAACATAAATGTAAAAAAAAACATATAGGCTTAAGTCCAGTCTGTATGAAAAATAAAACAAAAATTAAAAATACAGACTTACTACATAAAAAATAGTAATTTGGATCAACCAAGCTATTGGGCTAAGGTCAATAAAAGCCAACTAAAAGCTAATAAAAAAAAAAAGTCCCTACCTACCAACTCTTATAAATCAAAGCGCCAATAACTTGGAACCAAGAGGAACAACATAAGATGCAACACAAAGTAAAGAACACCTGAAGATTCAAACTAAAAAGCAATGGAAATGAACAAGTGTCAAGGCAAGCGACAACAGGGTGCAGAACTAGCCAGTCTCTCAACATGACCCATCAGAACCAAACAGCCACTAACGCTGCTACGTAACCCGGACACTGAGGGTAAGATGTGCAGCGATACACGTTATGCTCTGGACACACGCTCTTACTAATTCCGGTTTCTGCAATAGCGTTTGACTGGGGGAGGAATGCTTTGATGCTGGAATTATCGAGGTTCGAATCCTAATTCAATAATAAACTCAACGGAGAGCAAAATACATACAGAAAAGTACTGGTATTATAATAAAAAATGTGTTCAGAGCCAACTGTATCTAGTGCAGATAGTGCTATACTGTAAAGACTTTTGAAAATGTGCTTTGTTATTTACAGAATTAATACGGATACATAACGTACAATATCACATACTGAGATCAAATACCCATTAAGTAAAATCTACAAGAAAAGATTGACTTCTGGTTTCGTCAAGCGTGTAAAATATCTACATGAACCTTTAGCGACCGTAGAAAAAACGTGCCTTACCTCTGCATAGCGTTATATTATTTTCATCAAGTTGTTAGTGTTTTACCTGTGTTTCCCCTTGAAATAAATGCTAGTGAACGGATTCTGTACAAAATAAATGACGAAACGAAACGGGGGGAAAGAAATGACGATTCTAAGACTGTAAAATTTGGGTAATCTCACCGAGAGAGAGAGAAAAAAAAATGAACGAGTATAAAAGAAGATGTCACAGTATATTCCATCCATAAAGAACGCCTCTAATGATTCCCGAAAACCTTAAGTGTCATTTGCCAAACTTGCGGGAATTGAGGCTATGCGCATCGCCCCCAGGACAACACTGAGGAGAAATACTATAGCCTTATGTCGTGAGCTTTGGGAGAGCCGAAACATCTGGCAAGAGAGCGAAGTCACTCGCCTCCGATGTTCCTCTTCTCGGATTCATGATCTTTCTTTAAGGTTTCTGAAGAATTCTTAAAAGTAATGAATATTTTTTCTTTCTTTTTTTTTCGTCGTCAGTGAGAAAATGACAGGAAGGATTATGTGCATAAGGTTGAAAATACTACTCAAAATCATGTACAGTTTCCTCTTAAAGTGTTTGTTGCAGGTTTTGTGAGTAGCATATAAAAGGTCTTAAAAGCTATATGTACTGGCATTGCTAGCAATTGTCCTCTTGCCGTCTGCTTCCTCGAAATATATCATAGCTCTAAGCTCAGTGATCATAAATTACATTCATTTCGTTTTCTTAAAGGAATGGTTGCTGGTCATGAATTTTTACTGTAATTTATTTTCTTCTGGGATAGCCTCAATCGATTTGTACATAATTAAAACTGATAATACATTTCTCCCAACACACAGGAGGGTGGAGGGTGGACGAGGAGGGAGGGGGAGTGAATTTCCTATCAAAGATTCCTTCCTCGAACAGCTACTATTGCACTAAGCTATTTACCCAATAAATTTCGAGTCCCACAGCACCCGAACTGCTTCAGAGGAGAGCCTGGTCTGCGTCCTCCTTCTCTCTTGTCATCTTCAGGCACACAATGTCATCATTTTTCTTTCTTTCTTCTACATTTCTTCCTCTCTCTCTCACACACTCAATAATCTCTCTAGCTCTCTCTTCCTCTCGTTCTCTATATCTATCTATCTGTTTCTCTCTTTCTCTCGCTCCTTTCCTCCAGACGATGCGGTCCTCATGCCTCGTAAACGATCACGGACGACCTCGGCACGAGTCCCTTGCGCTCGTTGTGGCAGCAGAGGAGGTAGCGGTCGTCCACCTCCACGACCAGCGTCAGGATGTCCCCCCTGCTGAAGCTCAGGTGGCCGTTGTCCGTCGCCATGCGGTGGTGGAGCGTCTGCACCAATCTGCAACAGCGCGAGGAGTCCGTTAGAGTCAAGCGGGGAAAGGTATGAGGGAGTTAGTTTCGTTATTCTGGTTTTAGATAATCCAAACGAAAGCAGCTGGTGTGCTCGGGCATGCATTATCTTTGTTATTATATGAGATTTGGCTGGTGCTTATTATGATCTGTTGGTTGCTCACAAACTTGTATGTTAGTTGAGAGAAAAGAGAAATGAAAACTTATCTACTCCATACTGTTAGTCGGAAAAATATCTTGAAATGTAAAATACTTTCCCTGCATGCATTAGCCAGACTACATAAGCGATCTATATCTACTGGCTCATTAGCCTTTTCACGTCAAAAAAGGTTCCGTTTCACACTTCTGCCAATGTGCCCTTGAAACATGACACTTTATCCAGTCTCTGAACCATCAATGAAAATGCATGTGTGTGACATCAAAGCACAAACAAGGAGGACTACCTTATACTATGGCATGTAAGATGCTGCCATTTACAGAAACTGTTAGTTGGAAACCACTAAACATGATATACTGCATGACAAAACCCCAAACAACTCTTCAGAGAGTACTAAAAATTATTAGGACATTTCACTGAATCATATCACTCCACGCCACAAAGCCTGAAACTTTTTTTTTCTTTCTTTCTTTTACAATGGGAATACCTCTTCAGAAGAGTCATTTATCACTGCAAACTGCCTCACCCTTTAGAGACCGCTCCGAAAGTGCATTCTGGGCAAGACACGGTCATCATGTTCCCATCACCACAAGCTAACACATGCCAGATCAGCTGGTCTACGGTATAAAGACAGAAGAGAGCGAGGTGAAAGCCACCTGCAGCTGGTGCTACGAGGAAATTTCTCGGGAAGTTCCCCAGTGTAGATGCCAATTAGCTAAGAGAGTGTTGGCCAACTTAGACGAGTTGAAGTATGTGATACATTACCTTAGAACCCTAAGCAAGACTGATGGCTTTACCCAAAGTAACGGTGAGATGATATCTTCTTTGTGCTTTGAAGTAGTTGGTGCTGTATTAGTCTGGTTATTGTTTTGTGATTTCACCTACTCCTGCCTACAGAAAGGTATGCTTGTGGGATATACACTGAGGGTTAGCAAATACTCAGAATTACATGGGTTAGCAACATTATTAATAAAATCACTCAAAAAACACTGCAATACTTCCTATTGGCATTGCCCTTTCCTATAATACAGGCTCAATTCTCCAGAACGGAATGTTCTGCAGAACCTACGTCTGTGTTTATGTTATAGGCACTGCCAACAGGAAATAATAAAGTTAATGTTTGCAATCTTGCTGGAGCAGATCTTTAATCTTTGCTTGACAAAAGAAAATCTCCAGGACAGTGGGTTAATATTCTTCTTGATGACCTTGGCTTCCATAAGCATACCTCCCTCTTCTGGTCTTACCTATACCTACTTGGGTGAATCTCCTGGCGCCACACGTCTCCCGTGGCTGGCCGACCGCTGCTGCCCGGCATACCTACGCTGTCCATCGTACCTGCCACTGGCATTGTTGGTCTTGTCTCCGGTGTTCGGCACACGACCTGGTACTGAAGAGGCACGACCGGTGGCCAGGCTGAGGTTGACGGAGTTGGGCCGCGGTGCCAGACGCGACCGCACCGATGGGGGACGCACCGCGGTGTTGCTTGGTTCATCTGGACTGTTTTGAACGGAGGACTTGTCTTTCAGGGACCTTCTCGGGGCTGGCTTTGGCAATTCCTTTGGTGCTGTGTTCAAGTGCTGCTTTTGCATGAGTGCTGGTTTGATCTGGGGCGAAGTTTTCTCTTTCGACGGGTCGAAAGGCTTGAACGGGCGCTGCGGGGAAGTCATGCTGACAGGCCTGGGTATTCTGGACCTGCTGCCACTACTGGGACTGACAGCTTTCTCAGGCACTGTAGGTGCTGGTGCCTTGGGAGGGGGAGGTGCTCTCTTCTCCGGCCCCGCCATTTGCTCCCATTTGAGTTGCAAGCGCCTGAATCTGACTCCTTCCGGTTCCTCGTCGTCATCATCGTTGTTTGCACACGCACGGGCCCCCTTCTCGTTCTCCGTGTCCTTCTCCGACGCCGACCGCTCGCTGATGTCTCCATCTCTGCTGGAAATGTCACTGACCTTCAGATCCGTCTGGAGGTTCTCTTCCGAGCCGTCCAACCCCCGGGCATTGCTGGGCCGCTGGTTGTTCTTGGGGTTATCGATGGAGTCCGTGTAGTCGTCGCTGGACGAAGGGCCAGCTTCCTCAAGCATCAGCTTATCAATAGCCGTGAGGAGCCTCGAGCCGAGTTGGACTCCACTCCATCGCTTCCTCAGTGTCGTGTTCTGCTCCTCGTTGGCCACGTGTTCGTAGCACGACCTCGGTCTGGGACTGCGGGACCTCTCCCGAGTGTGGTCTGAGATGGACTGCAGGAGCTCGTTCTCGTCGAGGTCCGGGGAGGTGAGCACACGCATGAGGGCTTTCACTCGGTCCTGCTGCACCGCGTTCTTGAACTCCTTGGTCTCCTTCGAGGCCAGAAGGTGGTCCAGGACTGACGGAGGGCGCTCCCCTGGGCTCTCCTTCGTGTGCTGAAGGAGCCTCTCCTCCATCTTCTGCAGGCTGGCGTGAAGGGCCTTGTACTCATGAAGGAGGTCGAGGTTGAAGGGCAGGATGGCGAGCGGCCGGAGGGCGATGAGCAGGTCGTCGTAGAGGGACCTGGTGGCGGTGTTGGAGAGGTAGAGGAAGGCCTCGGGGTGGTAGTGCTTCTGGATGATGCTCTCTCGCGTCCGGAGGTAACTCATCCACGAGTCCAAGGAACGGATGCTGCAAGAGGGCGGTGGGATTGGGATTAAGCCTCAGTCCGGAACAGGGAGACTAGATCCAACGCATATTCCTGTTTACACGTCGACCTATCTGTGTAGATATCTACATATCTTTATAGATCTACCCATCTACTTGTATACATATATACTCTAATTAATATGAATATATAAGAAATTAGAAAACATACATACACAAACACACACACACACACACACATAAATATATATAAGTATATATATAAGTATATATAATATATATATATATATATATATATATATATATATATGTATAATATATATATATATATATATATATATATATATAATATATATATATAAGTATATATATATAGTATATATATTATATATATATATATATATATATATATATATATATATATATATATATATATATATTATATATATATAATATATATATATATATATATATATATAATATATATATATATATTATATATATATATATATATATATATATATATATATATATATATATATATATACACATACATACATACATGCATATATGCATATGCACAATCATATACATATACACATACACACAAGAAAACACACACACACACGTACGTACGTACGCACGGACGCACGCACACATCTATCTACCTATCTATCAAATGTATACATACATACATACATACATATATAAATATATATGTATGTGTGTAAAGTACGCATCGAAACACTAAGTCTACCTCAGAGGCCACAAGACCTCCACCACTTACTTCAGCAGTCCGAAGATAAAAGCATTGAACTTGATGGGGCCTTCGGAGAGGCACTCCTCGCTGTTCAACGTCAACACCAAGTCGTTCAGAGCCTTTGTGGAGGGACCTGTAAGCCCAGAAATGCTTTTAAAAATAGAAGCAACAGCGAGATTGAGAAACACTGAAGACATATTAAAATCTTGGCAGACAATACGAGAAAGTAAATAAAGTAGGTAAAATTACGGGTGTAATATATCAATTCAAATATCAAAAAGACCCAAAAAAACATGAACTAAGCAACACTCGCATCAAATATCAAACTCTACCAATCATCCGAGCGAACACACCCACCAACAATTATAAAAGAAGCCCCCCCTCCCTCCCTCCATCCCACCCTCCTCCCAAACCATCCCAAAAGGAAAAGAAAACGGAAGACTCACTGATCTGACTGGTGACCTCGACGACTCGCCACACGGAGTTGTTGATCTTGCCGAAGAGGGAGTGCAGGGAGGGGTGCAGCCCGTCACTCAGCAGGGCGTACACGGCAGGACACAGCTTCTCTAAGGCTATCTGGGCCACGGTTGGGTTCAGGGAACTTGTACCTGGAAGGCAACGTTACGCTAGGATTATATGGAAAGGAGGTCGAGAGAGTTCCGGATAAAAAAGGCGGGACGAAGTGAGAGTGAATATATATACAGTGTAATAAAAAAAACATTGCATTATTACTTAACGCATCAAATAATAAGAATATTCCCAGGGCAGTATATATGAGACTGAGGAAATAGAATCGGTCCTAAGAAAGAGAAAGAAGTTAACATGTAATACAATCTACATTGCAATATAACACAACAAAATTGCAAATTAGACCTGCATCGAAATCTGACCCCCACGCCATCATCGCACAACCCTTCAACAGCACAGTATCAACCGCAGCTCATAAAAAAGGAGAGACGTTATTACAAAACCCTCCGCCCGCTGCAAACAAGTCGCAAACACGCCCACGCAACGCACCTAGTTTGATCTTTTCTTGTTGCGACGAAGCGGTGGCGAAATGGGTGACTAGCTTTTCCACGGCGGCGCGAACAGACAGCACCAGGGTCTTCTTGTCATGGGCGTCGTACACCATCGGCCTCGGGTCTTCTTCGGTCCCGTCTGTGTTAAGTCCTCCTGGGGGAACTTCGGCGTTGGGAGTCTGGGGAGAGAGAGGTTTGCATTCTAATTTCGTAAACAAACGTGGCTGAGACAGTTAGTATGGAGATATTGATATGTATATATTTCTTTAAGGAACATATTTTCATTAATGACTTCGAAATATTATTTCACTTTTTTTTATAATCTTAAACTTAATCATAACGCATGCAGAAAAATAATCTGAAGACCGAGCGTTGCATCCATGTAAATACCTTTTCTGCAAAGCTGACACTCTTCTTCGGGCAGAGGTCACACGGCCCGTTCACATCGGCCATAATAGGACTTAGGCTGGTTCCCTTTGTAACGAGGAAGGTGCTGACCTGTGACCTGATGCGGAGAAGGTCATCCTCCGTCAGGTCCTCGTGGCTGGAGATGTCTGGCAGCTCACTGACCCTTAGCAGATTTTTCTTCTGAAGACCCTTACCACAGAACCCTGTGCATTGGTTGACGCAGCTGCATCCCATGGGGGAAGGAGGACTCATCGCCCGCTCTTTCTCCACTTCCTGCTGTGCTGGCTGTTGGGCACCTACCTCGGGGATGGTCTCCCTGGCGTTCCTGTGTGCCATGTACTCCATGGGCTCCTGCAAGGATCTCCTCTTCAACAGGTCCTCCCTCATGTTGCCTCTGCCTGGATCAATTGCACTGTAGCGTTTGTTGTGGCCTCCGGCCCCCTTTGTTGGGTCCTCCTTCAGGGACGAAGTCTTTCGCAGGATGCCCCGCGGTAGAGGTGGTCGTGGCGGAGGCGTATCTGGATCGTCTGGCCCGTGTCTCTCCTCGACGGGTAGAGATATAGACCTCTTGGGCAAGGGTGGGGGCTTCTCAATGCCTTCTGAGTCTGTGCTGGCACTGTCATACTTGTAAACGTATCTCTGGTCCAGACCTCCAGTCTCTCCTTCTGAGTCATTGAGCATCGTCGAGGACCCTCTGAAGCCCGAGGAAGGCTGTGTGGAGTTGCTGCTGGCGGATCCCTTCAGCTCGTGCGAGTACCTCTGCGGCGTGTAATCACAGCTCATGGGGCGCCGGGAGGGCTTGGGCGACTGGCAGAACGAGGGCTTTGTGGTTTCCATGCACTCGGTCTCATCAAGCAGCATTTCTTTCAGTTCTTTTGGCAGCAGGAAGTTCAGAGAGTCCCAGTCCCGAATGTGGCTGAATCCGTGCTTCTTGAGTTTCTCCATGTCTCCGCACGAGAAGGGGCGCCTGGCCCTGGCCTCCCTGGCCCGCCTCACCTCCTCAGGCTTAATGTGGTAGTGCTGAGGGACGAGGAAGACCCGGGCGTCCATGCAGTATTTCTTATCCTTGAGGAACGCAAGGTCGGGTAAGGCATAATTTGGATAATAAACGTAGACTTCTTTCTTGTCGAAATCAAAGCTTGTGTTGACGGTTGCAGACACCTTCATGTTGGAAGTCTGAAGGCACTGGTCTGACATCTGCTTCAGCACTCGGGGTTTCGGTCGAGGCTTCTGCTGGGGAGCGTCAGAGTCTGAAGGTCTCCTGATCTTCTCTGTGGAACCCCTGTTGGAGAGGTAGCCGCTGGAGGAGTTGCCGGAGTCTTGTCTGCGGCGCGGCGTGCTGTTGGGGCCCTCGCGGCGGTTGCTGCCGCCACTCTTCTTGGGCGTCCCCGGGGACTGGGATCTCTTGCGGTCGTCCACGCGGATGTTGAAAGCATTCTTGTTCATGTTCTTATTCCCATTGTCCTTGCCGGCAATGTTCTTGATGGGAGACATGTTGTTCTTATCCATGTTCAGCTTGTTGTCTCTCAGCCTGAGCACGTCCGCGATCTTCGTCTCCTTCTCCGACTGGTCGAGGAGCACCTTGCTCTCCCCTCGGCTGTCCATCGAAATGTCCATGCCCTCCGGCTCCTCCCGAATGGGGCTGGTGACGGGCGGCTTGGAGCAGGGACTCGTCTCCTTCAGACTGTCCTCAAAGCTGGTCACGTTATCCATGGTGTTCGTGAGCTGGACGCTGTTGTTGTCTAGCACTGCTGCTGCGGATATTATATTGTTGTTGTTGTTGTTTAGGAGCCCGTCTTGCTGGGCATTGGCAGTGATAGCAGCTGTGTCTGTGGTGCCCGTGTTGGTGGTGGTGTCGCCGCTGAAGTCCTGCAGGTTCGAGGTGACGTTGTTGGCTCTCGGCGTTATCTCCGGCGCCCCCAGCGAGCCTCTTCTCCGCCGGAAGCCGCGCTCGTGGTACACGACGCCGTTCTGCCTCATGAGCGTGGGCGGCGGCACCGGCGAGGCGCTCCCGTCCATGTCGTTCTCGGACTGGCTGTTCATGGGCCAGTCGGAGGAGTCGTGCACGTTGGACTGGTTGTCCGAGCTGGAGCAGCAGGCGCCCTCCTGCGAGATGCTCGACGACAGACTCACGGCCTCTTTGCTCAGGCTCTTCTGCCGCATGAACAGCTTCACCAGCGAGAAGTTGCTCGCCTCGTTCCCTATCGTCCTGCTGCTCTGGCTGGAGCGCATGCTGTTCTGCAGGTCGAACACCTTGACGCACCCCCCGGCCGCCTCGAG